GTTGCTCTCAAGTGCGCCTCTTCTAGCTGGAGCTAGAAGCTAGTTAGCTTAGCTTAGCATAAAGAGGGGAAACCTGTTCAAATGTGTCATATTCTTCCCCATTCATTGCTAAAGCTCACTTTTTAAAACAGAAGTTTTCATTTGAGATCAGTGCCAGTGGCCAGTTACTTTAGCTCAGCGTAAAAAGGGGAAACCGGGACAAACAGCTAACTTGGGTCTCAACATCGGTTGCCTCAAGGTGCTTTATGTTGTAAGGTATACCCTACAATAATGGACTAACTGAACACCATTTAACCTGGGGGTTAGGGATCCTGGAGATAGTTTGTGCCATTCTGTCTGTTTATTTTCAGGCTATTTTGGTTGTGCTGAATGAATCTGATATTTCCCAGAGGATATTGTTATTTTTTGTTATTTTTTGTGGCATATCTCTAAGCTACGCAAAAACTGCCACATTTTATCCTAAGGCCAAAAATATTTCAAAATACAATTTTTGATCCCACATTTATTTTGACATCAACTAATGCATTTCTTTATGTTAAGATTTTATTTTGGACTACTGGCCTTCAATTTCATTTTTTGGATTTTTCCACCAGGTGGCACTATTTTTTCCATTCAAACATTCCATTCCAAGTGTGTGTGTGTGTGTAACATCCACCTTTGAGTCTTTTCTCTTAAAAGGCCACAGTCTGTGTTATAAACTAATTCAATAATTTAAAAAACAACCTTTCAGAGCTTCAAAGATATCTCAGCAGCAAGAACCAAAACAAAATTGGACTTTGTTTTGGTAATGAGCAGTAGTGCACTCATGCACTCATTTTGGAGATGGCAAGACTACAGCACACAGGAGGCTCTGGAAATGATCGTGTGAAGATGAAGAAAGAGATCAGCTGGAATCCAACTCTGACTCATCTCTATATTTTGGTCATTAGCATATTTTGGTCTCCCACAAAGACTGCAGCGCTACGTCCCAGCAGCCAGAGGTTTGATTCTGGGACCTACACACGTAACCACCAGCTATGCACTGCTGCCGATGGATGAAATCCTGGCCAAGGCAAACCTGCATGGGAAACACTTAGAGGCTCATGTGGATACAGAGGAACTGCAGGCTTATGTAGGGATGCTCATTTTGGACTGTGTCTACAGGTCCAAAAACAAATCAATTCAAATCTGCAGGGTGCTGCTGCAAGCCCCTTTCTTCAGCCAATGTAAGGGCAGTGTGACTTTTGCACGGATGAAAAAGAGAAGACCTGGCAGCACCTTCTGGGACGCTTACTTGCAAAGACCACGGTGTGTCCATTTGCAGCCGCTGCTCCACCTCAGCTGGAGTCCACAAACTATAATTAATATTTAATATTTATATTTCAGGCTGAAGTAGTTTTAAAATGACTGTGTCATTTAAAGTGGAAAAATATTACTGTGTGATATTTTTACACCATTTCTGGGAAGTCGCCATTTTTTGTCCTTTGGCTAAAAAGGGTCAGGACTTTTAAGGATCATTGCTAAACATACCCGTTCCTTTATGAACAAAGTGCACCCATCTTCTAATGACTTGAGTTCCAGTAAGAGTATACATGTGAGAAAGCTCAAATCATCTGCTTTCTTGAACACGACAGTGAATTCACTCTACTGAAATGGTCTTCAGAGTCTAATATGCTATGTTGGATCTCAATACAATAAATGTATGCCACAAAGAATGAAGACAGTTCTGAAGCTAAAAGGGACTCTAACCTGGTGCCAGCAATAATGAAGTCAGTGTATCCCAAATTAGTCCCAAATTAGTCCAGAAAACCTCATTAATAACTTTCTTCACAAGTAATCCTTTTTTAAAGTGAAAGTTCTTCTGATAACCTTTATCCTAAGATGGAACATTTCTATCGTCACTAGGGTTGCGAATTTTCAAAGATGGAATCTTTCCATGGGAATTAACGGGAATTTATGGGAATAAACGGGAATTAACGGGAATTTATGGGAATTTATGGGAATAAAGTGGGAATAAAGTGGGAATTTATGGGAATAAAGTGGGAATTTTCAAAATTGAAGGTTGGCTCTTCTTAGGGAACTTAAATATAGTTGAGCAAAGTATATTTTAGCATAATATTGACAAAAACAAACAAATGCAATTCAAATACACTTGAATATCCATGCCATTCCTTAATCACATGTACAGAGCACAAGCTTGCTGCATGGCTATTGAGACCACCTACTGGCACTGTGCATGCCTCCATCACATGTACACATGGACCACACTTTTGAGCCTGAAGGACAAAGAGTATTGAAGGCACACATTTGAGCCTGTGGACTTAACAAGTGAGGTAAGTTTTGATGATATTACGGGAAAATATATTCATTAAATGTTTAAATTGTGAATATCACAAAAAATGTATTAATCTGGTAGATAGCAATCTGATAAGATGCTAAATAAAATGCTAGCATCTGTTAGATGCTAAATAAGCCATGACATGCATTGTCTACTCATCTACTGGATGAAGAGTTCAGTCGAGTTCAAGCAAAGGTGAAACAGACCATTGACCAAGCTGACTGTATTTCAGTCATCTCTGATGGATGGTCCAATATCAGGGGACAAGGAATTATTAACTACATAATCACCACTCCTCAGCCTGTGTTCTACAAGAGTGTAGACACAAAGGAAAACAGACACACAGGCCAATACATTGCAGATGAGCTAAAAGTGATCATCAATGACCTTGGACCAGATAAGGTTTTTGCACTGGTCACTGACAACGCAGCCAACAGGAAGGTTGCCTGGGCACATGTGGAGGAGACCTACCCTCATATAACTACTATTGGCTGTGCAGCCCATACACTAAATCTTCTCCTAAAAGACATAATGGCACTAAAACCAATGGACACTCTGAATAAGAGAGTGAAGCAAGTTCTGAAATATGTTAAAGGCAAACAAGTAACTTCCGCTACATTTCTGTCAAAGCAAAAGGAAAAGAACAAGAGTACTACACTGAAGCTTCCCAGCATAACGCGATGGGGTGGTGTTGTTATCATGTTTGACAGCCTTCTGGAGGGAAAGGAGTCTCTGCAAGAGATGGCCATATCCCAGTCTGTAGGCATCGACAGTGACATCAAGAAGGTCATCTTGGATGATGTGTTCTGGGAAAGAGTATCTAGCAGTCAGAAAATCCTCAAACCTATTGCAGCAGCAATGGCGAAGATAGATGGGGATGGTGCCATCTTGTCAGATGTCCAGTGCCTTTTTGCAGAACTCAAAGAAGAAATCCAGACAATTCTGCCCACTTCCCTACTACTGAAAGCAGAGGAAACAGCTGTGGTCAAGTCATTGGAACAGCGGAGGGAGTTCTGCATGAAGCCAGTGCATGCAGCATACATGCTGGACCCCAAATATGACAAGGGCATACTTTCTGGGGAAGAGATCAACGGTGCCTATGCAGTCATTACAGCCATGTCTGACCACCTGGGTCTCGATAAAGGCAAAGTTCTAGGCAGTTTGGCAAAGTATCGAACAAAGCAAGGTCTTTGGAAAGGGGATGGAATATGGCAGTCATGCCAGCACATATCTGCAGCCACCTGGTGGAAGGGACTATGTGAATCTGAGGCCCTTGCACCTGTAGCCTCCATCCTCCTCCAAATCCCACCATCATCAGCCGCCTCCGAGCGCAACTGGTCACTGTTTGGCAACACCCACACAAAGGTTCGCAACAGGCTCACAAATGTGAGAGTGGAAAAGCTGGTCGGCATTCGGGCAAACCTACGGCTCTTTGAGCCTGACACAGAGCCATCCTCAACAAGGCTGGAAAGTGACACTGAAGAGGAAGACTCAGAGTTGGATGCTGAGGAAGTGAACATGTTGTTGGATGATGATGAGGTCCAGGAAGAGTCTATTGACTGAGCAAAAATGAGAAAAGACAATTGCTTGAAGGAAGATTTGCATGTTTAATGGGACGTTTTGGAGGATAAGTGGCATTTTTCTTTTAACCTTTAGAATGGGACTTTGTGGAGATTTTTGGACAGGGGGCATTTTTGAATGAGCGGGGTTAGGGGATGGTAATATTGAACTCAACATTTCTGTTTTTATTCATCCATGAAACAAGTTATTGAAACGTGTTCTATTCTACTGTACTTACAAATAAATCTGTTGAAATAACTGTTGAAAACATTTTGCATGGAGGTTTTCTTATGATTTCTGTTTATATTTATGCTTGGAAATAATATATTCCCAGTTAGTTCTCCTAAATTCCCATTAATTTCCATAATTCCCATTATTTCCATGGACAGTTTCCAATATGGAATATTTCCAAAATTCCCAAGCTTAACTTACCATGGAAATTTACCGGAAACTTTTCGGAAATTTACCGGAAATTTTCCGCCCCTTTGCAACCCTAATCGTCACAGGAGTGGTCTCTTCCGGGATGATTTATCTTAAATTTCTCTTCTGTATTTTTGCTTTGGTTTGTTTAAACATTTGATCAACTCCTCTCCTCGCTGATTTATAGGTATTTAGACAGCTGGGAAGTAATTGGATAATTTTCCTTGTCCTGGAAAGTCTGGACTTCATTTTTAAAGTTCCATTGAGTTAAGATGTAATGAAATGGGTTGATTGCTTAGCATTTTTAGCAGCGGTATCAAAGGAAACCATTGTTTTTATGTATAAATGACACAAGCTGCTCAAATTCAGGAAAGGTCAGAGCTCATAAAGAAGCAGACTGCTTGCATTCCTAGCATGGTTACTCAAACCTGGGCGGAGAGCGTGAAAAAGAGCAGGCTCTGCCCATGCTACCATCACTGAACACATTTTTAAGCAAAAATCTTGATGTACTGGACTTCTTTCTCATGTAAATATGTGTAAGTGTCCACTCCAGAATATTGGGCTTGTTCAGTAAACTGGGATTCAGCAGTTCTTTCTCTTTCAGATCTGAAATGTGACCTTTGTCCTTATAGGAAAAAATATTGTTTTTACACGAAGACATACCTAACAACCCATATGCACATACTGGACTTTGGAACCTCAGTAAGAAGAACGTGGAAAAACATTTTGTTTTTATTTAAAAAATACAGAGTAACGCTCCACAAATAACACCCTTTAACAGGACAGAATCAGCACAGTATGAGTTCATAGATCCACTGAAGCCCCTGGTTTCTTCATCAGTGCAACAGAGCGACCGAGAAAAATGCAGTGAATGTGCTGACTGAGCCTCTGGATTGTGTTGTCATTGCCGATTTAGGCTGCTCACCACCACATTTGACCTGCTAAATTTGGGGAAATTGAAAAAAAAATGTAGTTATTGTCCTACATGTTACATCCTTTCATGAGTACACAAAGCAAAATCACACAAGTACCTCATTTGTTGTGCTTTTTGTAGATGGCAATGTATTCCTGCACATCATCAGGGGATCCCAGGACCACGGGTACTCTCTGGTGGATACTCGTGGGCTTGATGTCTAAAACGTTCATGGCTCCAGTAGTGGCCATGCCTCCTGCCTGCTCCATGATGAAGGCCATGGGGTTGCATTCATAAAGCAACCTCAGCTGAAAAGCAAAACAAAACAGTAGTGACATGATAAGAATATGAAGTATCAGAAAATCTTTCTCTTTTATTTTTTAAATCACCATTTCTAGACGCTCCACCTCCTCACCTTGCCCTTGGGGCTCTTGACATTAGCAGGATATAAAAAGATTCCTCCGTACACCAAAGTACGATGAACATCTGCCACCATTGATCCAATATATCGACTGCCATATGGGGCAGAGCCATCCTGAAAACAAGTAAATGTAGAATTTATGCTTAGATTAACTTCATATTACTCCTCAATGCAGCATTAGAGATTGACCTTTATGGTGGTCAATTCCACATTAGGATTCTCATTTATTTATTTTATTGGCTTTACCTCTGGGAATTTCTTCTTTTGTAGGTACTCGGTCACATCTGGATAAAAGTGCTGTGCATATCCTTCATTCAGACTGTAGATTTTTCCCTTTTTCTTTATCTTCACATCTTGGTCCACCAAGATGAACTCGCCAATTGCCTGGAAAACAGAGGGGGGAAAAGCAGTATACTGTCTTATATACGCACGGTCAGGTGACAGTTTTGACGACATCTATTAACTTACAGGGTCGAGCATGAAGCAGTTCACTCCCTGACCAGTGGACAAGACCATCATGGTGGCACTGCCGTACAGGGCATAACCAGCTGCTACAATGTTTCTTCCTGGCTGCAGAGCATCCTGCTCAGATGGCTCCCCATCTGTGGTCTATGTGGAAAGATATCAAAAACTTTAAAGTTATTATTGGAACCACAGGCTATCACATATTGTTAGGACAGGTAAGGACAAGGACACCTTACTGGCAGCGATATAAACATATGCCCTCTTGTTATTTAGTTCTCAGTTAACCCTGGGACAGCAATGTGTGTTGATCTGGTACTGAATTGGCTGTTATGTTTATGGTATGTCAGCATACTGAGTACATTTAATTCTCTGACGACCAATTATTTCTCTGCAAAGATAAATAGTGCAATAACACTAAGTGCAATAATCTTTTCTGGCATCGTTGTATTTTTACTCAGTTGTATATAGCATTCGTATTCTATTTTTATCTTATTGTATATTTTTATTCTATTTTATTCTACTGTATATAGTATATTATTTAATTCTATTCTGTACAGCTGTGTACTGTATTTATTCTTATTGTATTCTAATTTTTGCGTCATAACTTTTGCACTGTCCACTTCCTGCTGTGACAAAACAAATTTCCCACGTGTGGGACTAATAAAGGTTATCTTATCTTATCTTAAATGTCATTCGAATTGTTGTTAGTTCACTCAGGGCTGATCGGGACACCGCTCTACAGTGTTGAACAACAACAAGCCGATGTGCTTGGAATCTGCATGCATTACCAGCATCACTGACCTTTTTGTAGATGGCGAATATTGTTCCTATGGAGACAAGACAGTCGATGTTGGAGGAGCCATCGAGCGGATCAAAGCAAACGATGTATTTTCCCTGTCAGGTGAGAAGAGGATTTTTTTTATTCTCAAAGTAAAAGAACACATAGACCTATTCAGACATTAATATACATCTATAGGTGTGAGTCCACATACGCTGTTGTCCGGTTCCACAATGATGGCCTTCTCATCTTCTTCTGAGACCAGCACACAGGAGGTGAAGGAAGACTTGATCATGTTGATGACTAGGTCATTGGAGAGGACATCCAGCTTCTTTACTTGGTCCCCTGTCACGTTGGTGCTCCCAGCAATGCCATATCTTCAAAGCACAAATACAAACTATTCACTCTGAAGCTATTTAAGAACTCAATAAAATAAATATGATAACAATATTCTATTACAATCTATTATCTGCTTGTCCTCTGCCCCAGGTGGATTTGTGCACACTTGTGCAAGGTTTACCTTTGGCCTGGGGTTAAGTTAAAACTGCTTTATTGGATTGCATGCTGCAGTGCATGTAGCTGCACTAAAGCCAAATATCAAAAGATAATTAAACTGTACAGTATATTCAATAAGAAAAATAAATAACCACTGGTTGCAGGGCTAAATGGTGAAAACTTCCTGAATATTCAGAAGCATCTGGGGGTTTTTTTTTTGCTACCTTTCAGAGTCTGAATAAAAAAAAAGAATGTAGTACTCACAGGTTAGCAATCCCAGCCTTTCTGACAGCAGTGGAAATGGCTTTGACAGCTGTGCAGATGGAGTTGAGCAGGTTTGTCAGTTCGCCTGTTCCTTGGGCCTTTCTGCCTTCCTCCAGAACAAACCTGGTGAGCGTCTGCACATTGGTATCAAAAGCTCCTTTGTCAGACATGTTGCTGTCAGGCGTGGGACTGAGACCTAATGCCCTGAGTGAAACAGGTAAGTGTTTCACCGAAGTTTAAAAAGGGTGGACTGTAGATAGGGGTAGGGACCGGGGTGTGCAACTCTTCTAACCAATCACTAGTGTCCTTTCTGATGCTGGTTGGATCACTTCTGTGACTGTGGGTTTGAAGAGCAAAGTTCAAAGATAGTGAACATTTTAGTTTTTTTTATCAGCATGCACAACTCAATATTTTAAAGTGGATTTCAGTCTCAGTGCAACTTGATTTTGTTTAACTGCATTCATTTCACTGAAGTACGTAACTGCACTCAGATCTTTTAATAGAAACAGCTAAGCTTTTCAGCACCAAGCTCATTTCATTTACAGATGCTCTTTTAAACCGACCATGTATTGTCTGTAGTTTTGCCCCTGTCAGTTTGTGAGATTTAATAAACTTCTGTTACTCAGAAACCTTCAGATCATTATAGAAAATCTGGTGAACACCTTACACCGGACCAACGAACTCAGCACTTTCAAGCATGTAAACATGTTTTCCCTGCGTGATCCTGAAGAGGTGCAAAGTTCAAATGATAGGACTCATTGTACGAGGCAATCTTACCTGACTTCTGTGTTAATTTTCGATGGGTTAATACAACTATGTACGAGAAAATAAACAGTCACATTTATTCACATGAACTGGTGGAGTGTGTCACTGTGTCTCTGCATGCAGATAATTAGGTTATGGTAGTCTCTGTCTGGGAAATCATCAAACTTTTTAAAAAAGTTAAAGGACTCCACACAATCAATGGTGCTGCTTGAGTTAAGCTTACACAAAACGAGTTAGAGAGTTAAACTTTGGACTTAAAAGATAGCAGGTAGGATAAAAACCTCCAGTGTAATGTAATGTGAGGTGGGTAGTAACATGCTGCAAGCATGCTTTCAAGTCAATAAATTATTTTAAAAAAGCAAACACAAAAAAACAAGAGGTTTCAGAGAGACTTTTTAAGGCTAGCGTGTGAGAAAACTATGCAGCAGGCGCTAGACACCTTGTCCGTAAGCATCAGTCAGTTAATCCATTTGGGGGATATTTTTCGCATGGGAATACCTCAAAAACTCCGCAGGAACAACTTTGGACTCAAAGTGTATTAGAGTGCAGGATGTATTGCTGCACTATGTCCACATGATGTCGCAGTTCAGCTTGAAAATGTGGAATGTCTGGTAAAAGATATATTCCATAAGAGCTCTCTGGTGCTCCGAATCGATTAAACTTTCAGCACTATTAAAACAGCTCTACAAACAGCACCACCCTGCAGGATGTAAGAGTGACTTATTTTTAGCAGGTGCCATTATCCCAAGCATACAGTTAAATATATGGAAACTACATAAAAATGACTGTTTAACTTTATTTCCCGGTTATGTCACTGGAAAAAAAAAATAACTCAGGTAATTAGTTCGGTAATTACTACCCCTGAAACCAGATTCTGAGACCGAAATGATGTGGTGTTTATGCTGTGTAATCGAGTCAACAGAAGAAAGCGCCTCATCAATATTTTAATGACTGATTCCCGTGAGCATCTGCTGTGCGCGTCGACAGCTCTGCGCGCATGCGCGGTATGCATCTCACAGATGCAGAGGAAAAGTTCGTCTAATATCGAAAAATTATTGAGAAAGGAGAAAAGGGGGGAAAGCGGTCTTGTTAGCGTCAAAAATACACGTTTAAAAAAAACACGTGCCAACTGATAAGGTAAGCTGTTAATAATACTCATAATATTTAACTTTGCATCACACGAGCATGTTGTATTTGTCCACCTCCTCTCCGAATGCACAGGTGATTTACTTCTTCTCATGTTAAGCAAACAGAGGCTAACTTTTTATAACACGACGGAATAAAACATTCAATTTGAAGTAAGGAAGGAGGAAGGGCTGCAGTTATCTGTCAATTTATAAAAAGTTCAAATATTAATATTAGTTATATTTTTATCATACAAAGTTTTACCCTTTATTAATAATCGCTTGGCACTTTTGTCAGTGAGAAATGTATGGTGGCCCTGAGAGGTCAAACGCACTGTAATTGAAGAAAACACCAGCAAATTAAAAAATGCTGCAAAAAGGCACAAAACCCAACGGAATTTCCATTAAAAAAAACAAAAAAAAAAACACAACAACAACAACAAACAAAAAACAGTGAAACAAAACGGACATGTTTTTGGGGAAACAGCTGTGGAAGTGACAGTAGGGGAGACCGGGGATAATTGTAACATTTTTGACATTTCTGTCTGTAAATTGAAGCTCTTTTAAGGTAGTGGATTCAAAATGTAATGCAAAGTATTTACATGTCTCTGCTATTAAATAATGCAGCTATTTTCTCTGCAGCACAATTACCCATTGCATGGTATGGTCTCAAACACAAAGAGTGAAATGTTACAATTAACCCCATAGTCTGGGTTAGTTGTAACACATCCTGGGGTAAAATGTAACACAATGAAATAAGGGTACTAACAAAACATTAACATGTAACCTTTGTTTATTCAACACATGAATGCACTTACATCCATTTATGTAGCTATGTGTGTGTGTGTGGCAGAATGCAGAAATCTAGCTTTTGAACATATTCCAACCCCCCAAAAAAGACAAATTATGGAATTTTCTGCAACTGAATATTTCATTAATTTTGGTTGGTCTTCCTTGAGTTTGGCCTCATTGGCTCAGTGGGCATTATAACTTACAACTCTTGCACCAATTTTGAACATAACAATGAAGCTGAAAAAATGTAGTTGTTCACCAGCATCGCAATTCCATTACTTTTTATCATGGCTTACCTTGGTGTGGTTTGCAAAGTGCTTCAGAAAGATGAGGGAATCTGTTTCTTGCACCCATCCTGATTTATTTCCACTACCAGTACTTCCTACTGGTCCATCTCTGACACAGAGGTCTGCATAATGTGGGAACACAAACAGTGGAGGAATTGTGTTGCCAATGGCATTAACCGCATATACAAATGCGACCAGTGAAGCTCTCTCTGCTGATGTCGTTGCCCCAACTTGTTTAATATAAGTTAAAGTAATAGTGTGGTAAGTTGTAACATCTGCATTATTGTTACAACTGACCCAGACTGTTGCTGTTACAACTGACCAAGACTCCTATAGCCATGAACTAGCTAGTATTATAGCCAACGGCTAAAACATTAGCACTAAAGACTTACACAGAATATATCCCCATAGACATACAAATAACATAATTTAAGTTTGATGAGTTTAACTGCAAAGCAGATAATGCTATCACAAATTGAAATAAAGTAGAAAAACTTACTTTTTGGCATACAAATTACTTTTTTTCATGTTAAATTGTCTGTATTTGACAAAATGTGCTGATTTTTCACGTGTGATAGCAGAACTGAATTGGGCATGCACAGGATGAGTCACATCATTTGAAACTTAGCCCTGATTGGAGAAATTGGAAGTGTTACAACTGACCCACGTTACAACTATCCCCGGTCTCCCCTACTATGTCACTCATGCAATTAAAGCACACTTTACTTTGCTCCTTCACATCACTGATAAACCGCTGCTTCTTTGAAGTGTGACGATGCAATCCTTCATGTTCTGTTTTCTGTATTTAGCGTGCGTTTGTAGTAGAGATGGACTGATCCATATTATGTATCGGTATCGGTCCTATACTACCTAAATTACTGGATCGGATATCGGAGAGAAAAAAAAATGTAATCCGATCCGAAGTATCACAAAATCAGAGAAGAATCCCAGAGAAGTAAAGCAAGTATATAAGTTCATCCCTGAATGTTTGCATAGTATTTCCATGTTAAGCTTAACAACTGATATATGGAGCCACAGCTGGACTGGCCATTGGAGTTCCATATTGAGGCGAAAAGGAAGTGATTTGTCCCGTACTTCAGCTAGAATTAAAAAATAGACACAAAGCTGGAGTTATTCTGTCTTTGCTGCGCAGTTGCATCTACTTCGCTCATTCTCTCCCCCTTGCTCTCCTGTTATTACTTCAAACATGAAACTGATCAATGATCAGCTGATCGGCTTTTCTGCTGCAAGTCCCGTCTTTCTTGTTTGTTTATCGCCCACTTTGCGCTAGCAAGAGGAGACCAGTGGATAAACAACAGCAACACGTTTAAGCGTGATAAGCTGTTGTTAGAATTTATTTAATATTACTTTCTAGTATCAGCTGATGTTTGCTGGAGCCACAGCTGTAAAAGCTGCTGGTCATGATATCCGTTTGGATATGTGGTGAGAGGGAAGCATGAAGATGAAACCAGGAGATGGAGAAACAGGTTTACCTTCTAGGTGACATGAATGAGTTGAAGGAAAGTTATGAACTGTTTCTGAGAGACAAATAACACCAGGATTCTTTTCTAAGTAGCTGACGGCTGGTAACTGTGCAGGGGCGGGTCTAGCAAAGTTTTGTCGGGAGCCAGGTTGGGCATTAACAGGGAAAGGGGGGCACAAAGAAATATTTTTCTTTGTTATGTCATTTAAAAATTTTGAATAAATAATTATCTGAATCTTACAAAAAAAAGTGGTCATCTGATTACATGTATTCAATTCAATTCAATTTTATCTATAGTGTAAATGTATAGAATCCATTATTGTATATAGTAACTAATAAGTCTAATATACACCCTAGTAAGCTATAGTACTTTTTCCTTTGGGAAGGTACCATCTGTGCAGTCTGCAATTCTGCTGAAGAAAGATATTGAATCTATTTAATTACTGTAGAAAAATAATTGATTTCTGTGCATTTGTTTTACACTTGCATTAAATGAAAGTTGATTACATCGATTAAGGGGGTGGTTCCCTAATATTTTTGCTGGGAGTTGGCAACCCTATTTGTTAGGTAGGTAAGTACTCTTTAAAATACCAGAATAGGGAGGATGGTGTAGGTTTAAATTTATTAGATTGATCAGTGTTGCTGAACTATAAAATGTTTTGGGTGGAGTGTATTTTGTGCATAAAGGTATAACAGAATAGCTTCAGTCTCTTGTTTTTTAAAACTTGAGTATGAACTTATACAAAATGCAGCAAGATATTTATAAAAAAAACTGTTTTATTGATT